GTCGCCTTCCACGCCTCGAGCTCGTTGGCGAGCACGTGCGCGTCATCCAAAGTGAGGGCTTCAAAGCCCGACTGCGCGTTCGTGAGCGCGAGCGCAAGCGTGGAGAGGAGGATCGGCGTGGTCTTGGTCATTTTGAAAAATGAAGTGGTGCAGCGAGGGCAAAGGAAAACGACGACGTGCGCCAGAGAGAGCGACTCCCACGTGTACCTACTAGTGTGGTCGTAGAAGGAGCACATCGTACGGTTGTCGGTTGGGGACATCAGACAAAGACGGTCCATCTTAGTCGATGCAAACGGATGGCGGGTACTTGTTTAAGAACCCAAACCATCTAAGATCTGAGTTGATAAGATGATATGATCGCCGACGTTTCATCGACTACCACACGTGTACAGCGCCATCCTTGCCCTACGATATCAGACACTCGAGCGTACGTAAAGCCAGATCGCCTGCATGACGCAACGGCATGCTGGAATCGGACGCGAAGGCCCAAGGATACGGCGGAACGTGAGATCGCGTTTTCTGTAGCACCCAATCCATTCGGCGAATGCATCGGGGGACCGAGAGCTCCTAACGACCCTGCCGTGGTCAGCGAGTCGTGCCTAGTCGATGCGAAAGGGGCTCTTGATCCCACTGCCTTGCCAAGCACAACGAGCGACAAGATGCAAATCTGGTCATCCAACGCAATGCGGGCTAGGGCTCAATGGTGCCGTGGGCTGAATGTATGTGGGTGCGTTCAACTATCAGTTCTGAAAAAGGCCTCGAACCTCTCGCACCGTGCGAGAGGTTCGGCGTGCGAGTCGCACGCCGACGTCGTGAAACTTCGCAATCGAAATCGATATGTACCTGGTACTTTGCCTTCGATGCTATTCGATAAGCTTCTGCGCCAGACGCTCAATGGCCGCAGAAACCGTCGACGTGGCGTCGGAATGCGACCGCCTTTCCGGCTACCAAACCGTACGTGGACATGCCATGTATTCGCTGCTGGTACGGTACGGTCGCTTGCTACAGGTGCATGGCTATGCTGGCGCTGCGACAGCCTCCTCTCGGCGCTACCTCCGATGACGCACGCGCATCGTCGCCAAAGAGCAATGGGAAACTGCCACGTGGAGTATCAAGTCCAGTAGCCTTTTTATATTGATACCGCGTGGCCAGGCGCGCACATATTGGCCGGGCCAATATATTGCGCCGACCGCGATGGCGTTCAACCTGTTCCACGTGTTTCACGCGTCATAAAAACACCGTACTTGATGGCGGTAAACTAGAAAAACGCGTTTAACATATCGAGCCAGGTGACAACCAACCGCACGCAGACGGATCCCTTGTCGGCGCTGGCGTCGGTCATCTTGAGCTTCCAGAATGGCGTCGATGGCGTGCTCCGAGCCTACCTCGAGCGCATCTACCTTACGACACGGCACGCCGCCGAGCGCTCGGACGGTCCCAACGGGGTCCCAGGACCCGCCTGCTCGAGCAAGAATCACACACCGGCTCCTACACAAAGCTCGACCTAAGCAATATTATCGACGCGAAGGCTGCACTGTCCGCGCCATGGACGGAGCCGCTTCGAACGGAGACTTTGGCGTACTCGCACTCTTGCACACGGCGCGCCACGAAGGCTGCTCGGACCGCGCAGTCGACGGCGCCGCGGCCCTCGGGTCAGCCGTGCTACTCGACTACCTCTAAGAAAACTGCGGCGGTCGCCCGACCCATGTGACCCTCTACCGCGCGCTCCATGGCCACTACGGAGCTCTGCAGTGGCTGCTCGATATCGTCTAGCCGCGTCTCGTCGATGGCGAGATTCAGCGGTTTCTCAACCTCGTGGCCGGAGCTCCGTCCTATGACCCTCGTACACTGGCTGCTCGCCTGCCGGCGCGACGATCGCTGCGCGTGCGGCTCTCTGCACGGTGCTGCTGCATCGCACTCGCCCATCAAGCGCTGTTGCGCGGCGGGGCGGGGCCAGATATGTTCTCAATGCAGGAAGATCGCACGATGGCCGCGCATCGCTCGGCGGTGGAGCTGGTCGACCTCTTGCACGCCCATGGCGTCGATGTCTGCACAGCCGAGTGGATCAAAGCAGCTTGTGACGGCGGCGCGTGGCGACTGTGGCAGCGCGTGTGCGAGCGCGGCGCGCAGGGCATCTGAATGAAGCGTCTTCTCCACCGCGCACGGAGCCACAGTAGAAACCGTGTCAAGATGACACATGTCCCCGGCGTCGAGACGATCGCGTATTGCATACTCGTACGTCTCGAGTTGATGGACGTCTTTGACGGACGGTACGCCACGTATAAAAGTCTCTTTTCACACGCGGCGTTGGAAACCATTGTCCAGTGGACAACCTTTCCACACACGGTACCGTTCCTAGTGTTTTCGCCCGACAAGTAGGTTGACACGACAGCGGCGATCGACGGCGCGCGTGCGCCGACCCGGGCCCTATTCATACTGCGCGCCCATCCAACAAATAAATGGCCACGTCATCAGCCACTTTTTTGTTCCCTTGTAGCACAACCAAAGCGATAAATTCAATAATAAATGTACAAAAAGTACTATAAATCGACCAACACCCAATGATAGGACCCAACCAATACAATACACAAGACGAGTCTATCGAAGGGGTGCTTTATCCACCCAGTGGATTGAGGCACATATCCACAAGACGAGTCGTACGCAGCGTTGAGGGCCGGCGAATTTTACCCTAGCCCTAACCTAGCCGCAGCACATAAACGCAGGGTTCAGAGGCTCCTGATGATCGATCGACGTATCGTTCTACTTTCAAAAGTAGCGTCATGCATTGTAGTATTCCCGTAGAGAGGTCGTCACGCAGGAGAGGGCACAGGTGTCCACTCCAATCCACCAACGCTTTTTTCAAAATCCAAAATGTGGAAAAAATAAGTGGAATAAATACGAGTTGGCCGATCCACGCTAGACACCTTGGGGAAAGCCATGCTGTTGAAAGCGCCGTTGAATGTCGTGCGCGGTCGGGCGCAGACTCGGGTCGGTCGCAATGCACTGCATAATAAGTTCTTGGAGCCACATCGGGCAGTCGACGCGCATGGTCGGCTGGATCGCACCGGCGATCACCATCGACACGATCGCCGTGTCGACGAGCGGCGCACCCGACTTTTTGCTCTTGACGTCTGTATACGGAATCATGTGCGTGTCCAGCTCCGTGAGCAGAATGCCAAACGAAAAGATGTCGGCCGCGACCGAGTACTGGTTCTCGCTCAGCACCTCGGGCGCCATCCAGCGGTACGTGCCGACGCCCCGCGTCATGGTGTGTGTCGTCGACGCAGGGCGTGCAGCGCCAAAGTCCGAGATCTTGGCACCGCCGCCCGACGAGAGTAGAATGTTGCGCGATTTGAGATCGCGGTGGATAATATCTTGGGCGTGGAGATATACGAGGCCGGCGACGATCTGGCTCGCAATGTACGGCTTGTCCGGGCCGTGCCACGGCAGCGACTGCGGTGTCGAGTGTAGCAACCGATCGCGGAGGTCTCCGAGATCCATGTACTCGACGAGGAACCGGACGTCGCCTTCGGTCCGCGGCGGCGCCAGGACACCCAGAAACTGGACGATCGACGGGTGTTGCAATCTACCAACGGCAAAGTGAGAAAAATGATTCAACATTCAGCCAAAAATCGCAAAAATCGCAAAAACAAAGACATCAAAAAGCAGCACGGGCGCGTACCGTGAGAGAATGCCGATCTCGTGCATGATGGTAAACATCTCCTGCGACGTGTGGTGGCCCGGTAGCATCGTCTTGATCGCAACATGGCGCCGGTTGTAGACACCGAGAAACACTTGGCCGTTGGCGCCTTGTGCCAGCAGCTGGAGGACCTCGACCTCCTTCTCGCGGACCGTCGGCACGTCTTTTGTCCATGTCATGGACGCGGTCGGCGACAAGGCGTCGTAGTACTCGTCGTCGCCGTCGTCACCCGTCGTGACGCCCTGCCGTGACGCGCTCGGTTCGCCCGTGGCCGAGAGCGGGCGACATGTCGTGGACCGACGTCGGCGTCGGCGCCGCAAGAGAAAGAGCACAAGGGCCACGCTGCAGAGTGCCCCAATGACGGCGACGCCAACGTACGTGTACATGGTCGCGTCGTTCATGCTACCACCGGCGGTGCTACTACTGCTGTTGCTGCTGCTCGATTTTGTGGGCGCCGCCGTGCGCACGGCCGCGCCTTCGAGCGGCCCCGGCGGCGACGTGGTCTTGACGCGGGCGCAGAGGATCGAATTGCGTACGACGCGGTCCGTCTCGTTGCTTCGCGGGTGCGCAATGCGGTCGGTAAAGTTGCTAAACTGGTCCAAGTTGCCGCCTGCCGACGTCGTCATGTTGGCGTCGTTGAGCAGCGCGGACGTCCACGTGCACGAGTTGCAGCCCTCGGACTTGGGGTCGTGGCCTCCGTTCATGGCTTCGCAAATGGCCCAGTGCTTGTACAAGGTCGTAATCTTGGTCTGGACCGCACTCGAGCTGCAAAAGTTGGTGTAGAGCGGCCGCTGCACGCGCGGGTCGTCGGGCAGACACCGGCGACAGCGCGATTCGAGGGCTGGGTAGGCCTTGGCCTTGGCGACGCAGTCGCTGTCGGTGCAGAGCATGGTAAAGTTGACTGGCGAGACGTACGTAAAGGCGTCCTGCTCGTCGCACGGCAAGCCTGCCCATGCATTGACGCGCTCGGCGCAGTCGTTGACCTCGGCCGTGCTGCAGGCGGCGTCGGGCGGCGGATTCATTTCTGTGTGTGCCACCTTGCCGGTTCTGTCGCTGGCTTCGAACTTCGCATCCCAGATGGCTCTGCCTGCATTTATTTCATGTTTTCTTGTCCACATACCAGTTCCATGTCATAATATAAAAGAAGAGGTCGGACAAATATACATGTCGCAGACGTAAGCGAACTTGGCCGTGTCATTGGCGGACTGAGCCAGCCCGAGGGCGTCGGTCGCTGGATGGCAGCGCAGCTTCGGACTCATGCACTTGATCGACCGCCAGCCAGATGCGCTTCCCGTCGTGCTACCAGGTACCAGACACGAGACGTGCTGCAGTGTGCGACGCGGCCGAGGACTGACTGCACAGGTGTGTCTACAGCCGGCAGGACTGAAGCAACGGACAGGTGGGCCCTCGGTGCTAAACGCTGCAGTGGTTGCAACGAACGGCAAGGCGGTGACGGATACGAGCGGTCCTCACGGCGTGGCATAGAACATGCGTGGGAAATCCTGTCACATCGCATGGGATCACCCGCCACGCAGCTCCACCACGCTACGACGCAGTCGACGTTGGCCGAGGACCGAGGTTCGTAGCACCCACAAGCATACGTGACGCACTGTCTAGCAGCTCCGTCGAGCTACAGTATCGGCTCGGCTTCAACGCTGCATCTTGGAGTAAGGATCAAATTGATCTTTTCTCTTGTCAATCCGGTGCCGGACCGATGTTTCATTGGCCAAAATGACCAAAAATCGACGAATCCAATGCGGTCCCTGGCAATATTGTGCTCCTAGTGTGACCCAGTGAGTGTGACCAGACTGCAACAGTCGCCCCACGGACAGAGAGAACCTGGCGTGTGCGTCGCCTGCGCGTGCCGTGCAAGCACGACGGCGTAGGACAGGCGTCCAGATGCGCCAGCCCGTTGCCAAGTCGAAGTACTGTTTTGTTTGATTACTTGTAAGAATCAATGTGTAGAATCATATAATGGGGCTACCACACCCACGACATACCTTTAAAGTGGATAATTTGTACTATTGGATACATTCTACATGGTGTCGCCACGTCATCCGGATATCGGAAACACTTGCCAACATTGTCTACCTCCATACGCACCGAGACGAAGGCTGCACGATCAAAGCAATGGACGGCGCAGTGTACTTTAGGCACCTCGCGGCCGCCGTGCAGTCTCTGCATGCGCACAAGCGCGAGGGCTTGCGTCGGACACGGCGGTGTGCGAAAGCCACTTGGAAGTGCTTCGCTTATACGCACCGAGTGGAAGGCGGCGCTGGACCGGGCGGCCCAGCGCTGTCACTTGGACGTCGTTCGATTTCTTTAGACGCGAAGGGTGTACGGCGCATGCGACTAGCTGGGCCGGGCACCTCGTGGTTGTCCAGTTCTTGTGCAGTCGCCATCTCGAAGGCTGTACCTCTCGGGCCATGTGTACGGGGGCGCCATCTCGACATTCTCGCGCAGCTCTTGACACTGGATTCGACGCAAGCAGCACAGGCCGTCGACCGCGCGATCTCGATCCGACACAAAGCTGTGTTTTTGAACCTCCTCCAAGCAGCCGCGTACCCTGGTGCGAAGAGTAGTGCCACATTGGACGTCGACTAGGATCTTACCGTCGACGGGTGCTTCTCGTTTGCTAACGACGTCGATGTTACCAACGAGAAGTACTGCGGCTGGAACTCGGACGACTTGATCGATGCGTGCATGTTTTATTCTTCGAATGGAAGGACGTTTGTCCATGCAATGCCAGTATAGGTGGAGTTGACGAGACTCTCCTCTGCCCATGTAGCAGATATGGCAGCAATACTGCAGCTGTACGTCCCTCTGTCGGGTGGTCCGAGTACAGGAGCCTGCGTACGACCTCGCGCGAGCTACCACTCGGCGAGTGGGGTCCACCACGGGATGGATCTCTCCGTGCGCAGCTCACTCCCAACGACCAAGTGCTGGTGCCAACTCCCACGCATTCAGGCGTAGCACTACGTATGCGAACTCTTTTTAAGGAAGATAACGCGGAACACGTTGATATATATGTACGCCCCGCACGTAGTGCTGGAGGAGTTTGCACGAGTAGCTCTATTGGCATGAAGGTGCAAGGCGCAGCCCATCGCGATCTCAAACGTAGAGCCTCAGCTTTTCTTCTGACGTATCAATGTGTCAATGACGTGGCAGCTCCAATCGTCATTGTCGACGTCCGGGCTACTACGCTTTTTCGAACGGACTGACGAGAAGGATGTCCGTCCGTCTCGTGTGAACGCAAACGAACGCGACTCGCGTCCACACCACACCACAGAGACGTCGTCGGAAGGAGTCAGCGGCCAGCGAATCGACTTCACACCTATGGCGCGTGCATGACGGTTCTGTGTATTTTATACGCGGTGCCATGCAGGGATGTGCATTATAACTCGTAGTCGATGAAAGATTGAGTGCTCGAACGCAGCATTCAGTGCTTCACCGCTTCCACAGAAGGGTTGACGTAACACAGGTGTCGATCTCGGAACCTTGGAAATCACACATGTGTGAAACGTGTTTTTGTAAAAAATGTCGTCCCATCGTACACATCGCAGGTCCTTCTCCTCACGCATGGACACATGCTCCGAGTACCACCTTGTGTTGGTTTATCCCGAGCATCGAGAACGAGTTTAGGTTGAGCTTCAACGGCGGCCAAGATGACGGTCGGAAGCCAGGGCTGCGGTAGCCTACAACAAATACCACACCATATGCCGTGTGAAATGGTGAAAAACAAAAGATACGTTCACGCGTGCCGGCTTTGTCGGTAGCCACGGCTTCGCGCCCTCGCATCGCCCAAGCCAAGAGCACTTATCAAATAGCATTCCATTGCGCACACTGCCTCATGAAGTCGATCAACATTGCGGCTTTTTGCCTCTGTACGGTCGGGACATCCGCTCTCCAGCTGTCCACTAGCGACCGGCAGGCACTGCAGACCGAGCTCGAAGCGTGGAAGCGCAGCGCTGCTGGGAAAGCCGCCGCCGAGCACGGCTACGTGCCCAAGACCGAGTCGGGGGAGCTCGGAGGCAAGACCTTGGAGCTCGAGCGCTTTGCTGCCACCAAGAGGGTGGTTGCGCAGCTCAATTTGGCCAACCCGCATGCGACGTTTACCGAGAAGAACCCGTTTGCGCTTTTGAGCGACGACGAGTTTGCACGGTTCGCCACCGGCCTTGGCAACGCGACGACACCGGCTCGAGCACTCTTGATTGACGGGCAGCTCACGCCGCTGCAACGCGCCGCGACCGGCGTCGACTGGTCTACCGATGCCTGCATGTCGGGCGTACGTGACCAAGGCGGCTGCGGCAGCTGCTGGGCGTTTGCGTCCGTGGGGGCAGCTGAATTTGCGCACTGCAAGGCCACCGGGGCCCTCGCCACGTTCTCGGAGCAGCAGCTCGTGAGCTGTGCTTCGAGCGCCGGCTACGGCTGCCAAGGCGGGTGGCCCAACAAGGCGCTCGACTACTTGGCCAGCACGGGCGCGTGCTCGGGCACGTCGTACCCGTATGCATCGGGCAACTCGCGCGCAAGTGGGCAGTGCGATAGCGGCTGCACCAAGGCGCCACTGCGGCTCGGCGCGTCCGTGACAATCTCGGGCGAGAGCGCGCTGCAGAGTGCGCTCGAGAAGCACGTCGTCACGGTGACGGTCGAAGCCAACAACGCCGTGTGGCGCAACTACAAGAGCGGCGTCGTGACGCAGTGCCCTGGTGCGTCGTCGGACCACGCGGTCGTCGCCGTTGGGTACGGTTCCGAGAACGGTGTCGACTTTTTCAAAATCAAGAACTCGTGGGGTGGCGCCTGGGGGGATGCCGGCTACATGAAGCTCCAGCGCGGAGTCGGCGGCAAGGGCATGTGCAATCTTGCGGCCAACGGCGCGTACCCGCAAATCAACGGCGGCGCGTCATCGCGCACGACTCACAAACCAACGCACAAGCCAACGCACAAGCCGCATGCACCGTCCAAGGCACCCTGCACGCCGTCGCCGGCCCCGTACACACCGGCGCCAACCGAGGCTCCCAGCAGCATCCCGACCGAGGCACCGAGTGATGACCCGAGCGAAGACCCGAGCGAAGACCCGACCGAGACACCGAGCGACGGCCCGACGGACGAGCCGCTGCCGGATTGGCCGACCGACTCGCCGTACCCGCAGCCGTCGTCCGCCCCGACACCGGCCCCGACGCCGGCGCCAACGACGCTGTGTGAGACATGCAAGCGGTGCTGGGCCCCCGAGACGGCGGGTCGGCAAGGCATCTGCCTCAGCGCCGACTATGACAAAAAGTACTGCCTCTACTTGACCAAGAAGTTGCACACGGTCTGGTGCGGCGACGACGACTTGTACAGTGGCAAGGCGCTGCACTAGAGCTGCATGAAACGTAAATGCAATGTCTGTTTTGTTCTGTAGCATCTCCTCCACACCCGATACCTTTTTCAGAAGACTTTATAGCCTCGGCGCTATTCAAGGCTTTGATAGCATTTGTGGCTGGCGCAATGGAGAGTATCATCGGCGCTCTCATAGGTCTTCGAGGGCGAGACGTCGAAAATAGAGGCAAACGAGCTCGTCGACTATCTTGTACTACCGAAATGATGCTTTGAAAAAGCAAAGCACCCCTCTCAAACACGGACTTGGCGCATGCATGATGCTGCGTGGCGACCAGTGCGTGGCGACCGTTCTTAAACGTGGCACAATATGGCTGTTTCTGGCGTATGCCACAAACAAAACAATGACCACTTGTATTTCCTGCTGTCCGCCGCCAACGAGCGCATTACGTAGCGTTTCGTGGTCCCCAATGTGAACTCTATCGCTGGGCAAAGCGTCGTCGACTTTCTTTTTACTCGATTCCGACGCTCGCGCATCCTCGGTACGCTGTCGCGTGCAGCCGCCCTTGCTTGGATTGGTCGAAAAGACAGTGAAAATGAACCAATGCGATCCATTTACATTTTCTATTCTATTGTATGGCATTTCATACAGATGATCACGCAATAAAAAGAAAACTCGGTGTCGCGCAACGTCAGCGTCCACATCATGCATCTATAAAAACGCAACGTTTGTACCATCTATGCCCCGTTCAGCCCATTTCTAGCCCTTTGAATGGTGTGCGTTTAGTCTGACGTGGCGTGTCGGCCATGACACGGAAAGGCCAGGCGGCGCGCAATGCGGTTGGTCGACGCTGCGCAAGGTCGTGGCGTGCGTCACTGGACCTCCGCCGCCTGCAACCCCACGTGAGAAGCACATGCGCGTACTCGTCGACACTGGCAGCGCACCGTGGCTGCTTGCTGCCGCTGCCGCCGCCACCGCGACGTCGCTTGTCCTCGTCGCCCGCCGCCAGACCAAGACGTCACCACGCTATGGCGACGCTTACACCACACTTATGAGCAACGAGGCAACGCAGCTTCTCTCAGTCCCACCGATCCAGACGGCTACGCTCTACGAGCGCGTCGACGTGCCGGCGCTCAAGGCGCGGACGGCGGCCATCGTCGCGCAGAACCCGTGGCTGCTCGGACGATTGGCCTACGGCCCAGCCAACACGCTCGAGCTACAGTACGAGACGTCGCCGAGCAACATCTCGGAGGCGTTCGTCGAGGTTCATTGCCCGCTGCCGGCGAACGCGCCCGAAGAGCAAGTCGCGGCGTGGCTAGCCCACGCGGCCTCAGTGGGCAATGGCCATGCCTGTCTCTCCAGCACGCGGGGCCAGGTCTTCCAGGTTGTGACCGCGCACTTGGTCAACGGGTCGGTGGCCGTTGTCGTTGCCCTCTGCCACGCCGTCGGCGACGGCTCGACGTACTACCGCCTGTACAAGATGCTCGACGTCCACGAAGCACCGGTGGCGCTGACGCCCGTGCGTGCGTTTGAGGACACGGCGGCGTTTTTCGGTGCGCTCACGCCGCACACGGCGCCAGCGATGCGTACACTCTTCGTGCTGCGGCGCGCGCTTGTCAACGTTGTCCGGTACGGCTACCGAAAGCTGCTTTTCCGGTCGCTGCCGCAGATCGTCGAGTACCGTGTGGATGCTACCGCCCTTGCCGCCATCAAGGCCGCGCACGCTCCGAGAAAGGACGCGCCATACCTCTCAACCAATGATATTGTGGCCAGCGCGTTCTTCAAGATGACGTCGACGGCCCTCGGACTCTTGGCCATCAACCTCCGCGATCGGTTGCGCCTTTCACCGAGCGCGGTGGGCAATTACGTCGGCTGCTTTGTCTACGCCCGAGGCGACTACCTCGACCCAGCAGACGTGCGTGCATCGTACCACGACAAGACGGCGCCGCAAGTGAAAATGTCGTCGGAGCCGTTTCCGACGAGCCTCTTCAGTCCCGGCCACTTTTCAGTGATGACCAATTGGTGTTCGTTCTACCACCACCTCGTGCTGGACGGGAATGTGACGCCGACAGCGCATCTGCCGCTCACCCGACATGGACTGCTGCCGTTCGATGCCACGGGGCTCCTGTACCACCGATCGCCGAGCGACGTGCGTCTCGTGGTGACGCGCAACGCGTCGACGCCGCTCTCGGTGCCGTCGTTCTTGCAGCTCGTGTCGTCGTAACCGGCTCGTCCTATCGTCTTGAGTTACTCTGGAGAAATAGATGTACGAGTCGCATTGTAAATCGCCTTCGAGGCCATGGACGGTGTCGATCTTAAGGTCGGTGGGAGATGCAGCGACAATGTCGTCTGGGACGCTGGTTTGGAGGACAGAGCTTCGACTAAAACGCTAGGATTTACGCGTCCATCTCGGTGCGAAGACTTGATCGCCGTGGCGGAGCATCGTACCGTCGGCGGCGACTTGAACGTTGGGCATGCACGCGTTGTGCAGTCGCTGAACGTACCGAAAGTCACCATTGTTGTCGATGATGTCCAGCGCCTGCGCTTGGTTGTGCAGCACGCAGAGAAGATGCGCGAGATCCGAGTCGGAGACGGTAGCAGGAAGGCGCGTGGGTGCGAGGTACGACCGGAGGATGACGGCAGTCGCAGGGCAGACGGGCACGCAAGGAGGCGGCTGTCCAAGCAGAAAATATACCAATCGTGACGCGTACTCGAACATAAGCATGCTATTCAGTCGAAAGCGGGCAATGCGAGATTGACGATGTCCAGAGCGGATAAAAGCGCCAGGCGAGGAGGTCTAAGAGGGCGAGACGTCGACAATACAGGCAAACGAGCTTCTCGACTATCTCGTGCTACCAAAAGGATGCTATGAAAGGGCAAAACGTCTCTCTCAAACACGGACTTGGCGCTTGCATGATGCTGCACCATGACCGTTCTTAAACGTGGCACAATATGGCTGTTTCTGGCGTATGCCACAACCAGAGCTTTGACCACCCGTATTTCCTGCTGTCCGCCGCCAACGAGCGCATTACGTAGCGTTTCGTGGTCCCCAATGTGAGCTCTATCGCTGGGCAAAGCGTCGTCGACTTTCTTTTTACTCGATTCCGACGCTCGCACGTCCTCGGCGCGCGATGGTGTGCAGCCCTCTTTGCTTGGATTGGTCCAAAAGACAGTGAAAATGGACCAATGCAATCCATTTACATTTTGTTTTCTATTGTATGGCATTTATCAGCAAGATCGCGCTATAAAAAGAAAACTCGGCTTCCAAACGTCAATGGGGCATCCATACTCTATACAAACGCAACGTTGGGGCTATGAAGACCACGTCGACGCACGTCACCAGGCCCGCGAATGGCGTGCATATAGTCAGTCTCTGGGTCACCAGCTTTGCCACTGCAAGCAGCGCGCAATGCGGTTGGTCAAAACGGTGCTCCGTCGTCGCACTGTGGTCCTGCGCTGCTTGCAACCAATTCATTACCTTGCTTGCGACCAAGTGAGAAGCACATGCGCGTACTCGTCGACACTGGCAGCGCACCGTGGCTGCTTGCCGCCGCCGCCGCCGCGACGTCGCTCGTCCTCGTCGCCCGCCGCCAGCCCAAGACGCCACCGCGCTATGGCGACGCTTACATCACACTTATGAGCAACGAGGCAAAGCACCTGCTGTCAGTCCCACCGATCCAGACGGCTACGCTCTACGAGCGCGTCGACGTGCCGGCGCTCAAGGCGCGGACGGCGGCCATCGTCGCGCAGAACCCGTGGCTGCTCGGACGATTGGCCTACGGCCCAGCCAACACGCTCGAGCTACAGTACGAGACGTCGCCAAGCAATGTCTCGGAGGCGTTCGTCGAGGTTCATTGCCCGCTGCCGGCGGACGCACCCGAAGAGCAAGTCGCGGCGTGGCTAGCTCACGCGGCTACCGTGGGCAATGGCCATGCCTGTCTCTCCAGCACGCGGGGCCAGGTCTTCCAGGTTGTGGCCGCGCACTTGACCAACGGGTCGATGGCCATTGTCGTTGCCCTCTGCCACGTCATCGGCGACGGCTCGACGTACTACCGCCTGTACAAGATGCTCGACGTCCACGAAGCACCGGCGGCATTGACGCCGGTGCGTGCGTTTGAAGACACGACGGCGTCCTTCGGTGCGCTCACGCCGCACACGGCGCCAGCGACCCGCACACTATTTGTGCTGCGGCGCGCGCTGGTCAACGCCATTTCGTACAGCTACCGGAAGCTGCTTTTCGGGTCGCTGCCACAAATCGCCGAGTACCGCGTGGACGCAAAGGCCCTTGCCGCTATCAAGGCCGCGCACGTTCCGCGAAAGGACGCGCCGTACCTCTCGACCAATGACATTGTGGCCAGCGCGTTCTTTGAGATGACGTCGACAGCCCTCGGGCTCATGGCCATCAACCTCCGCGATCGGTTGCGCCTCCCGCCGAGCGCGGTGGGCAATTACGTCGCCTGCTTTGTGTACACCCGAGGCGACTATTTAAACCCAGCAGACGTGCGCGCGTCGTATCATGACAAGACGGCGCCGCAAGTGAAAATGTCGTCGGAGCCGTTCCCGACCAGCCTCTTCAGTGCCGGTCACTTTTCAGTGATGACCAACTGGTGTTCGTTCTACCACCACCTTGTGCTGGACGAGAACGTCCTGCCGATAGCGCACATGCCGGTCATTGTTCGCGGAGTGCTGCCGTTTGATGCGACAGGGCTCCTGTACCACCGATCGCCGAGCGACGTGCGTCTCGTGACGCGCTTAGCGACGACGCCGCTGTCGACGCCGTCGTTCTTGCAGCGTGTGTAGCTGTCTCATCGTCTCATCGGTTGTCATTGTGCCGAGTGAAACAAAAATGCAGTCACGTTTCTTGTTCACTCGCTTTGGAGGGCGACCGTTTTTGTCGAATTGCACCAAGTATGACGTCAACTCGGAACTGGGATTAGTCTTGAATCATGTCCGGGGACCAAGCGACGACGCGTTTCTTGTGGAGGACTCGTCTCCTCGTCGACGATGTGACGGTAGTCTAATGCTATGGGACTGAAATAGAGGTCTCTTTTGCAACACACAACGTTTTTTTCTGCCTTTATAGGCCAAGGGTAGATATCGTCTTTAAAAGACAGCGATCCCTTTCCTATTGCATGCATTGCGATACTTGCTGTACCTCGTGAGAAAGCATAATCGGACTCCGACATCAATGTGCCATGCGCACCCCTACCCCTGGGGTTAGGGGCACACGCGTGGCATGCTCATGGCCCTCGGTCTTTCTTGTGTTGCGAGGACTACGACGCTTTCTTTCTGGATCTTTGAGGGTCACGAGAGGACGCCGGTATCAAATGGTATAGTACTCTAGTATCCAGTGAAATAGGAGTACACGTAAGGCTTCTCCCATACTATGACGTTTCTATCGACGTTCGACGATATTGTCCTCGTCGACAGCATACATGTGTGCCCAAGCGGCGCGCGTTCGCGGTGTCGTCTCGTTTAGCGCCTTGTAAAAGCGGGTCGTCTCGTGGTCGACGCCAAAGCAGCAACACGCCATCTCGAACGCCGCTGCGTACGCTGCGGTCGCGTCCTCAATCTTGCCCTGGACGACAAGCGCGGCGGCCAAGGCGTCGTAGTGCTCGATCGTCGTCGGATGCGCATACGGGACGACTGCGTCGACGCACGCCAGTAGCTGCCGACGGACGTCTACCGCATCGGTGTCGTCGTCGCGCAAAGTGGTCGAGAGCTGCGCGAGAGCGTCGTAGCACACGCGGTGGGTCCAATGCAGCGGCGAGGCCGCCACGATCGCCTCGATGTCGGCCAAGGTCGTCGCGGGCTGCAGCGCGGACGCCGTCGCTGCTTCGTGCACCGTCATGGCGGTCACATCATCGACCGTCCAGACGTGGTTGCAGCACGAACACGTTGCCGTCGTCGGTGTCGTTGTCGTCGGAAGCACGACGCCGTTGCATGACGGATCTTTGCATCGGTACGCCCGCGCATAATCCGGCGCGGCGCCCGTGCACCAGTCGCAGTTGCAAGCGACCTCGTCGGCGACGAGCGCCGCCGCCCGGTCGGCATGCGTCCAGTAGTACGTGTCGAGCGTGTCGAACGTGAGGGCGTCCCCGACGGCGATCGGCGACATCGCTGTGGCTCGCAGCGTCGTACCGTCGGCGGCGACGTGAACGTTGGGCCTGCACGCGTGGTGCAGTCGCGGAATGTACCGAAAGACACCACTGCCGTCGATGCTGTCGAGCGCCTGCGCATGGTTGTGCAGCACACCGAGAAGATGTGCGAGATCCGAGTCCGAGACGGTAGCAGGAAGGCTCGCGGGTGGGAGGTGCGACCGGAGGGCGACGGCGGTCGCAACGCAGTCCGGCACGCGGTCCGAAAGCACCGAGAGACGCAGCAGATCGGGTAGCAGAGACGCGTCGGACGCGATCGCGTGCAAGATTTTGACGAGGTTCTTGGCAATGTCGAGGCGCCCGAGGGCGTCGTCGTGCGCGGCGCAAAAGGCCATGTACGCGTCAAAGTCCGCGGCGACCGCCGTTGCCATGGTTCCGCGTTCGGCCTCGGTGAGCGTCTCGACGTGGCCATGGTCGTGGTCGTGGTCACAATGATCCTGATCGTGGGCATGGGCATGGTCGCAGTGGGCAGGTGCATTGTGGGCATGGCTGCAATCCTCGTGGCCGCGGTGGTGATTGCACGTATCGTGATGGTCGTGGTCGTGATCACACGTATGGAGATGGGCATGGTCGTGGTCGCACGTGTGGTCGTGGTGATGGTCGCAGTGGTGGTGGGAGGTGTCAAAGCTGGACGCTACGATCGCCGTCTCGTGGAAGATAACGGTGCTTGGCGCAAAGGCGCTGGTCGCTACGACGCCGTGTGCTGTCGTCGCTACGCGTGCGGATGGAAAGAGGGGCGAAGACGATGGCGTCCGGGCGGCCGTCGAGAGCGCTCGGGTGGGCCGGACGAGGCGTGGCATCCAAGGACGCTCTTGCTGCCAGGCGAGGCTCACAGTGGGAAGAGCATGCAGTGCGCCATGGCCATTGTCCAGATTGCGCAGGCCATGTACAGGCTGCAGCTGGCGCGCCAGTCGGCGGCGCGCCGCCACGGACGTCCTCCGTGCAAGCATTTTTGCCACTTGGCTCTTTTGTTCTTGTATCGAATCATGGTCTTTGTATCGAGGTGTTAGCATGGCTAAGCCCACGCATATTCATATAAATAAAGTGCGTGGTGTGTGGTGAATGACTGGGCGCATTTGCGTGCTTTTAGAATGTGCTAGTATGGCATGTGGGCACTCCCGAGATTCGCACCGTCGGTACTTAAAGCTCTTCGAGCCTCGTCGACGGGACACTATTGACCACGCAGCCATTTGCACTACTTTAGCTCCTATATTGACGCAGCACATATCCACGCTATTACGCCGACGGTGCGGCTGACGCACCAAGTGGCTCAAGAAGCGGGGAGGGCAAGAGCGGCGTCGACGCATTGCGCGTCACGGCCAAGCGCACGTCGGTGGGCGAGTGATTATACAAAACAGCCGTCGCGTCAAACGGCAGGAGGCCTTGCGTCACGAGCGGCGCGTGCGAGAGCGGGTGCACGCCGTCCTCAAGCACCAGGTGGTGGTAGAACGAGCACCAATTGGTGATCACCGAGAGTTTCCCGCCAAAAAGGCCGGCCAGCGCACCCGGCACAGCGTCGGCGGTCGAAGCAGTTTTACGCTGCGGCGCGCGCTTGTCGCTGTTGGACGCGCGGATGTTGGCGGGCGAAGCGTACTCGCTGGCCGTGTACGTAAACGCAATGATGTAGTTGCCCGCGTCCGTGGACGAGAGCCCCAGCCGATCCCGGAGGTTGAGGGACATGAGCCCCAGCGACGTCTGGGTCATGGCGAAGAAGGCACTGGTGAGAATGTCGTTGGTCGAGAGAAAGGGCGCGGACGGTGTTGGTGTGTGCGCTGCCTTGGCGGCCGCGACTGCCTCCAAGTTGACGCGGTAGCGCGCGACGTGCGGTGGCATCCCGAGCGCCTTGCGGTAGCCGTACAGTAGTGCATTGATGAGCACACGAAGGCCCATGAACGCAGACCGCGTCGTGTACGGCGCCCAGTGGCGGAAGGCCGGCGTCCCGTTGTAAAAGGCGCGGGTCGGTGTCAGCGACTGAGCCTTTTCGTGCGCATCGAGCATCTTGTAGAGCGTGTAGAAGGTATCGCCGTCACCGATCGAGTGGCAGAGTGCGACGGCGACGCCGGTGCTGCCGTTGGCCAAGTGCACAGCGACGACTTGGAAGAGGCGTGCGCTTGGATCGTCGAGGCAGAGCCGGCCAATCATGGTCGGTGCAATGCTTTTCGTGAGCCAATCCATGACGTCGTCCGTCGACGCGTCGGCTGGCAACGGGCATGTCATTTCGGCGAACGCGGCCTCGACGTTGGTCGGTGATGTGGCGTACTGGAGTTCGACCGTCTTGTCGGCTGCCGAGACCATGCGCCCGAGCAGCCACGGGTTGGCCGCGACGATAGCCGCCGTGCGTGCTGCGAGGGCCGGTACGTCGAGATGCGGAAAGATCGTGATCGTTCGCGTCGGCGGGAGCGCCATCACGTGGAGCGAGTTGGCTTCGTGCTCCATGATCGTGACATAGGCGTCACCAAAGCGTGCAGCGGGCACCCGCCGCCGCAGCGAGTAGCGGAGGGCGACGGCGACGGCGGCGATCGCGCCAAGCACTTGGAGAGTCTCGGCAGAATCCATTCTTGACGAGTGGCTGCAATGGTGAGCCGACTGATTCGGCAAGGACTCACATCGTGTCTTTCCGGAGGCATGCACTGTATTGGTACGCTGCAATGAACGGCACACGCGCGGAACGTTCCGACACTCATCTTGGCGAATTCGGAGGCATTCTGATTTCATAATGCAATTATAAGCTTTCATTGTGTATAGATTATCATCCATGGTTGAAAAACACGCAAGTATCCAGTTGAGAGTACCGGAAACCCATGTAATTCGCGTAAAAAGTATTTTGTCCGCCTGTTCAGTTTGCACTTCTTCTTCAACTGTGATATTCGATGTGGCAGATCACTGGTGTGTGCTGTCGCGCAGAAGGTGCTCCTGAAACCCAGCAGACTCGAACGGCAAAACAAAGCTGATTGTTGGCACTCTATGAGCAGCGGCATTTACCGCTATCGTGCAGATGACCAGGTCGTACGAGCGATCGAGCGTCATGGTGCACGAACAGTTCTCTTGTCGTCGCACGAACGCCGCCTCGGAAGGCTAGAACCACTAGGAGGACATGGTTGTCGTGTTAACGCTATAATAGGAGGAGATTGCAATGGCATCCATCAATGGTTCGAGGAAAAACGGCTTGGCATGGCATCCAGCACTGCACGGGCCGCTCTACGACTGCATTGACATTGTCGCAGCAGCGTAGTACTGATGCTCACATGTCCTTGTTGTGTGGTGGAGCATCACCCCACGCTTCAGGTCATGCTCCGTGCCAAAAGATCGATAGACAGATCGATTGGCCGATAAGTAGATACTAGTATATATAGATCGAGTGATTGATAGATAGATTGATTGATAGGTAGATAGATATGACGTTTCTTGACGACAATCAGCACCGCAGTACTGGCTGTACGCTCAATTTAGAGAGATTGTCGCATACTAGTACGTGCTCGGAAGTATGAGACTGCATTGTGCGTGGGGAAGATCGCATCGGGGGCCCGAGTTGCTAATTCTGCGCCAGGGCGGCGAGGCCCGCGAGGTCGTCTGGGGTCGTGAGGCGCTTCTCGAAAGACGGAACGGTGGCGAAATCTGCGTGTTGGAAAACATGAAGGAATCCACGCGAGCGCTACGACGGATTTTAAAGAAAAAGCAACAACATGAACAATCGAGTCAATCTCGACAGGGCCGACCAAGCGTGCCTCTTCTGCCCCGCGCACGAGACGTACCGCCACTTCCTCGTAGACTGCGACTTCATCAAGGACGTGTGGAGCACGCTTCACGCCGTCACGGTCCCTTTGGGCGTGACCTTGCCGACTACGCTCTCCGGCTACCTCTACTCGACGCCCAAGACGGCGTCCAGCATGCACCAAGCCGCGTTCCGCTACCTCTGGCCCGTG